AAAGATTGTTGAAACTGAGTTGTTCATAAATTTTTACTAATCATATATGGTGGTGGGGAAACATGTTTCTATGTAATTATATCCACTAGGCTGTTTGTTGTTGAGAAATATAAGTTATAATTATTACGAGATATATGCTTTCTGACGATCAAGGTAGTGTCGGAATGCACAGGTAAATAGACAAAAAATTGTTATAGAGGATAAGGATATTGAAGCCAAAAAGTATAATTTGTTTGGGACCAAAGGAGCTCGTTTGGCAGTTGGGAGGCAAAATATTTTTATTGGAGTTCACCAGGAGTTTTGACCTTGTCTTTCTTTCAAGTGTTGGGGCTGTCACGAGTGCCGAAACGGATATTGGTAAAGCCTACTGATTCTGAGGATAAGAGGGGATTGGCCACAACTTCTCAAATAAACTATATGATTTCATTAAATTGGAGGAATTAATACACACTTCTGTAGGATAACGAAAAAAATTCAATATATCTTGCAGGTAAAAATATATTGACCTCCCTCCAATTTGATGTAATTATACTCCTTTCCTAATTATGATTAAAACAATCCTACCCTAGTAAGGAGGAAAGTTTGAACACAATTAAGATAAATATTGTAAATATAGATGAACTTCTACATATGTTTACAGTTCTTATTGTTACCAATAAAACGTTCCTTAGGTTCTTAATTTACAATGTAGTTTTGGGATATGTTCTTGAGCATGCAATCATCAGTTTAAACACTGTATAAAGTGCGTATGCTATTGTAGTGGAGGTTTGTTCTATGGTTTTCCGAAACTTAGGTAGAGTGCATATCTTCAGAAACAAGGAGTGTTTTTAACAACACCTTAAGTTGCATTTGTTTGTGATTTCCCACATATAAGTTCGCGATCTCTTCATAAACCTAACCTTCCTATAGAAGAACTTACAGTAAAGAGCACCCTGGCTACTGAAAATGTTTTTTATTTACTTTATGATCCTAGGTTTATTTTACTGAAAAGGTAGATAAAATTTAATTATTATGGTGATAATTTCCATGTATACAAGCGATACCTCAAATAATTTCTTTTATGATCCTAGTGTTGTTTTGATGTAATGGTCTTTCTTCAGGTTACTTATTATCGTGTCTGGTAGTAGTTGGATTTCCTCTTTTCTGCAATTTAATCAGATTCTTAAAATTGTCATCAGTGTAAGAACAGTTATTCTGTACATTGGCAGGGGGCTAAAAAATCTCTTGTGCTACGAGAGATACCAGAAGATGAAGTGAAGAAGCTTCTATCTAGCAAGGATGCTTTAGCAGATTGCGATATAGCAATTTTTGTTCATGACAGGTGACTTAAAATGCATCCTTGTTGAATAGATTCAAGTTGATTTTTGTGGTTTTCCTGAAATTTCTATATTTTACCCAGTCCTCTGATCACAAATCATTCTGTCTATTTTGTTCTTGACTTGGAAACATAATAATGCGTGCATTACTAGTTATTCTTCTTCATTGCTTTCTGTTAGACACTTTCAGCTGTATTAGAGTTCAGTTAACTACAACAGCGACATACCCAGTGTAATCCAGAGAGAAGTTGTTACTGATAGACCCTAGGCTAAAAACAAAGTAGCCGACGCAGGATTATGAGAAAATAAGACAGTAAAATAGCAAGATACAAAACGGGGTTGGGTGTGGGGTGTGAATGAAATTGATTACAGAAAGATGCAGGTGACAGACGCATTTACAATTTTGCATATATATGATTTGCTACAAGGGTCTGGAGCAGTGGTGGTTGCAGTATGTTAGTTGGTTGTAGTTATTGTTACCTTTTGGAGGACTTCTAGGTAATATGTAAAAGTAGTATGAGATTCTTTAAATGTTTCACAACAGACACGTCAGAAGGGTAAAAAAGCTTGGACTCATTAGAAATGTACCCGTGTTGGATCCTTATAATACACTGTTTTTTGAGGATCCAACACACACCTGTCGACATTTTTTGAAGAGTCTGAGCACCATAGGTAAAAAGGGAAGAGGTGAGAGATAGTTGACTAGTTTGATTTTTGATCAGGTAAAATATTTCATTGATAATGACAAGGCCATCTTGGCCAAATACAAGGATACCAAGAGAAGAGAAAGAGATAGTTGACTAGTAAATGATGAAAGTCCATTCAGCATGTTTTGGAGGTAGATTTACAGGCGCTATGTTGTCTTAACTTTTCATCCAGATAACTGAATGCAACCACTTTATGCACAGCACATGTTGTATTATACTCAACTGCCTAACTACTTCTACCTTAGAAAGGAAATAGAGATGAGAGGGAAGAGCATACCATTATAATTCCGCCATATATTCTATGCTTACCTTTTTTTTCCTTTTCACTGTTGTTCCTTGCATTTGCCTAGTAGCTCATCTTAATACCTTTTCTGTCAGTTCTTGTGAAGCTTCTTGGAAGAGAGCAGCAGATTTACTGGTGGATGTTGCCAGCCACGGAGAAGCCACTGGGTATGAGATGCCTTGTCTCATTGTAGCAGCTAAAGATGATCTGGAGCCGTATTTGACTGAAATTCAAGATTCTACCAGGGTATCTATCCTACATACCATCAAGAATTGAGCATATTTTTTGTCAAAGTAGTAATTTTACATTCAGGTTCAGTTTATTTATCTCCTGACATTTTGAGTGAAATGCCTTCTACGTGTGTGGCGTTTACTTTAGTGATTGCTGCACCACATCAAAACAATTTTCTTGAAGAGTTAAGCTCAGCTAGTACCGCTGCATGTGATTGAGTATATCCATGTTCCTGGTGTAATTTATCTTCTGTAGAGCTAAACCTACATGATGCATTATCTAAGTTGTTAGGCAGTACACATGTTTAGTATAATTTGATATTTGCTAAATACGTGATGAATTTTTTTTTGATAGGTTAGCCAGGATTTAGGGATAGAAGCTCCTATACCCATCAGCACGAAGCTTGGGGATTTCAGTAATTTGTTCCGAAGGATAGTTAATGCAGCGGAACATCCACATTTGAGCATCCCCGAGACTGAAGCGGGAAGAAGCCGTAAGCAATATCATCGGCTCGTCAATCGATCTCTTATGTTTGTATCAGGTAATAATTTGTTTTGATTTCTTTTTGAACATTTAAGAACTTTTTACGGTTATCAAGTCACAGAAAACAAATAACTAGAACTACGAATGTATATTTCCTTGTCCTTGTAAAAAAAAGATGTCCTTGTCCTTGGAAGTTAACAGTTGATGATACATCGGTTTCATTTGGTTTTAGTAGGGCTGAAATTTATGTTCAAGACGGTTCAAGCGTCTTGATCATTTAGAACCCATTGGAAGAACTGCTGTCATGTCAAACATTTCCATTGGAAGAACACTCAAGAGCTATTGACTTTGACCCCCTGCTATTATTTGGACTTCAATGACCTGGAACACAGTTCTAGATAAAGAAAATCACTGGGATGTAATTGTAACCTATAAATTAGTGGCCACTACTTGGTTATCCAAGTCAGTAAACATTTCCTTAGAATATTTGACGATTTTTTCTTACAGTAAGTGTTGTGTTACAAACAACCTTCCAGAGTTTAAAAGCATCAAGTTTATAGTTTGAACTCTCTTCGTATTAGCAAATTACCAACTGGCTGGGTTAGAGGTCATTAGAGGATTTTGCTAGTAGTAGATTGGAATGAGCACCCCTAGAAGAAATATCATGTCTTTTTGGTTTGGCACCCAGCTAGCTAGGATGGTCTGCTTGAGTTTGTCGTAGTTTATGGTTGAAGATGGTATGGTTCACATGTGAAGGGTACATATTCTCTTTATATCCAGGCATTTTTCTATATTTTATCACATGTGCAGATGCTTTGTTATCTTTCATTGTTTGACATGCAATTCTAACTCTATTGCTGTAACAGTTGGGGCTGCTGTAGCTGTTGTGGGCCTGGCAGCTTACCGTGTTTATGCTGCGCGGAAGAATGCATCGAGCTGAGAATTGAGATTGTGTGATCATAATATGCCAGTCATGGTTTCAAACATCAAGTTTCTGTTGCCTGATCTCTTGTGCCATGGTTTATTGCTTGGTTTTCTGCTAGTCTGCATATCTCCGAATTCCAACATGGAGAAAAATGCAAATATTTTTGTGGTCGCTGCTTTAGATCTGTTACATATTAGCGGCTTTTCTTTTGTAGCATCTCAGTTAGAAAGTACTGGACGTGCCTTTTCTTTCGAAGTGGAGAAGCCCCATTGCTGGAAGGGTTGATTTGCTGCGAAATAAAATGTTCAAAATAAAATTTGTTTCAAGAAACTTGGAAGTAAACCTGAAGCAACCTTTTAGGTTATATCGTATTTCAAAGGAAATTTTTATTGAATTGTTGTAGGACTTTGTATTTTTGAAAAGTTGTCTAGCATTTCCCATAAAGCTTGAAGAAGTAATATCATCCGATGTCCTAATTTGCATTACTCCTTGATAGAACATCAATTAAACTGCGATATAAGCAGGTTTCACTAATTTTATTATTTGATTCTTCAATGTCTCGTGTAGGGGAAGTTTTAGATAATCTTGCATCGATTAATTTCCAAATTTTCTAGGTACATACATATGTTCTATGTTCGATTTGTAAAACGAAGCATTATGTGACGTCCCACCACTTAACAGGCAAATTATGCGTTTGAATAGGGGTGGAAGAGTCTAGAGTTGTGTAGACTGATTTATAGAATTTTAGAAGCCTTTAGATATTTCGATAACATTATAGAATTCCTTAGATTTTTAGTGTAATTATTAGAGGGATACATATGTTCGATTTGTATAACGACAAATTTTGTGTCAGAAAAAAGGGCGGAAAAGTCTAGAGTTGTGGAGAGGTTTACAGAAAATTCTAGAAGTTTTTAGATATTTCAACAAAACTATAGAATTCGTTAGATCTTTAGTCTAATTATTAAAGGGACTTGTAAAATAAATATTATTTACGCTTAGGCTCTTAAAAAGTAGTATAAACAGAAGGATCTCTCGTCGATAATTAATTAATTATCAAAAAACCTTCTTCAAAGCTTTCTCGTTCTTTCTAAGTCTTTCCTTTCATTTTTTTAGTATTCTGTCTTTCCTTCCTTGCTTGAGCTAAAAGCTTGGACTATTTTATTTCTTCCGATAAAGCCAATTGTAAGAGAAACATTTATTTATTACTCTAAATCTCATTGTTCAATAGAAGACGGCATTTTCTGTAAATGTTCCAACATTCCGCAGTTATTCTATTAACTTTTTGATCCAACATTACAACACAGACTTTGATTTGTGGATTATAATCCAACCTGGTATTTGGAACAAACTTGTTACTTTTCAATACTTTATAACTGGTTGGCCCAACATTAAGGTGTTTTGGGGTTCCAACTCTATCATTCTAACCCTCTGCTCCTAAGATCATTTTCGAGGATAGCTGCACCAGAAGATACAATTTTTTTACGCAATGAAATCACAACTAGTGAGCAAGATATATATATATATATATATATATATATATATATAAGACTTGTTGATTTTAGGTGGGAATAAAGAATTGTGATTTTTTCCTTTTTATTTGGTTTTTGTTTTTGCAATAGAGATTTATTCTTTTTTGCATCTTGGCGTTGCTTCTATATTGGACAATATTTTCTATTAAGAATATAAAGGGGGCAAACTGATACAGCAGATGCACTAAGTACTATAATTAACTTTTCCTAATACTTTTAACAAAATACAGTTATTACAATTCAAAAAAATAAAATGATGAGTAAGTGAGTAGATAAATCATCTTCTTCTTTTTTTCTTTAATAACAATTTGTTTCATTTCTATTGCACATCTAATGAAGTTGATCCTTTAATCTCCGATCAAGGGCAGATTTAAGAATAGCCATGAGGCGTCACGTGACACTGTTTACTCAAAAAAATTTACTATGTATACGTGATTAAAAGGGAAAAACAGATAAAAGAGATGTATAGTAGAAAGTGACACTCCGGCTTAGCTTTTTTAAAACTAATTTTAATTTTTTTAATCTCTTCTTATTTAGTAAGAAGAATCACCATTTATTATATTCTACTCTTACCTCAATTTGTACCATTTAAGTTTAAGAATAAATACTAAATTTTATCGTCAAAAAGCCCTGATACTGGGTGATGGCTCCATTAACCTCTTGGACTGTGATTCCAACAGAGACTTTGTTTGTGGGTTATGGTCCAACCTGGCGTTTGAAACCTTTCAATGCCTTCCAATTATGCAACCTAATATGCCCTATGTTGTGAGGTTTCTGGGATTCAACCATTGTCGATCTTTTTCATTTTTGGGATTCAACCACTGTCATCCTTTTCCTAAATGAGAGTTTTGGGATGATCATAAGAGACCTATGAGACAAGGCATCTTGGATATCGACATCAGGGCGATATTTGGCTGTATGGTTTATTTTAATAAGGAGATCTTAGTAACAATTAGGCGAGCAAACAGGGTGCTAGACAGATGTACTTGCCTCCTCCATAAACAACTGAAATATTGATGCTTTACACAATAGCTGCATTGATTGTTTCGAGTGTTGCAATGTTAACAACTTGCTTTATCAATATGCCAATACAAGACACTATTTAATTGGCCAGTTTAGTTATAGACAATTAACCTAGAGAAGAATATAGTTTAGTCTTGCAAGGTCAACTTGAATTAAAGCTCTACAAGTCACTGTTGGTGAACAATTTGATGCCTTAATTTAACAAATCTTCTCCCCATGAGAAAATTTGAATAGCCCTATCAATCTGTAATTTCACATTGGCTAGCACTGTCATTTTCCTTAACTAAAAGTTCTCAGGTGGTCTCCTCTGATGTTAACACTGGGGAGATGAGGCATTTTAGATTTGGATATCTGAGCCAGAGAAGTAGCTCTAGAGTTTACTATTGCAAGGAACAATCGGACGAGTAAATGAGTATCCGGACTCTACTATGAGCATCTGAACTAATTTAATGTTTGCAGCCAAGATATTGCTTATACAATGCCAAATTCCTCAAGACACCTGCTCTTGTAACAATAGTATTTGTTTGAGGGTTAGCAATTCTTTATGGCTTCAGTTTTAATTCCTAATGGAATTGCATTGTACATGAAACATAGAGAAAAGTTGCATTTCAGAAGATTCATGATTCTCATAAGACAGGTACACAATTCAGAAGATTTATCTTCATTGGATTTGGATCTCTACACCCTAGAAAGCTCTACAAGAGTATCCTCCAACTGTAGGTGAACCATTTGATATGTTCTTGTTTACCAAACCCTTTCCCCATGCAAAAATTCGGATAGGTCGATCAATCTGTAATTTCTCATTGCTATCTTTCTCTAGCTGCAAGCAGTACTTATCAAAGCTCTCAACACTTACGTGCAGTCGGAAATCAAGAGCTGCCAAGAATTTTACCTCAAGCTTGTTCAGTTCTCTTGTCGTTATTCCTCCTACTTTTGCATAATAAGCATTGTTGTAGCAGCTGCAAAAAAGGTGTGAAAATCTCAATTGTATAGAAAAGACACAAAAACTTAGATCAACTACAATACTTACTCATCATCTACAAACTTGACAGCCAACATGATGCTAGTGATGAGAAGCCGGTGAACATTAAGAGAGGTGAGTAAACAATCAGTCAGATTGAGAAATCTCTCCAAATATATATACGCAACCACGAAACACGAAGGACTGCAGTTGGAGTACTTAAAAATGCGCTCAATGTACTGCTGAACGGTCAAAACAGGGGCTCTTGTACCATGGAAGACAGTAACAACACCTCTCTTATTCGATCCCTTCAATCCCTTCTCATTCTTTTGAACTGACCTCTCAATAACTGAAGCTACGATCCATAGAATCTTCGGATTTCCTTTATCTCCTCTATCATATTCATTCAACCCCATATTTGTATAAGTTTTTGAAATCCCAGATTTTGTACCAAAACCCTCTGCTCCCATGATCATTTTTGTGGTTAGACAATTTTTTTATTTTTTTTTACACAATGAAAATCACAACTAGTGAGCAAGATATATATATATAATATATAAATGAGTTGTTGATTTTAGGTGAGAATAAAGGATTGTTATCAGAATTAATTTTTTCCTTTTTGTTTGGTTTTCCTTTTTGCTTTAGAAATTTATTCCCTTTAAGCATCTTGGCGTTGCTTCTACGTTGGTCAATATTTCTTAAGAATATCAACAAGGGGGGCAAAATGATACTACTAGTACAGCAGATGCACTATCAACATAAAAAGGTAACTACTATAATTAACTTTTCAATTACTTTAACAAAATAAAGTTACAATTCAAAAAAATAAAATGATAGGTAGATCATCTTTTACAGAAAAAAAAAAAAACTGAATCAAAAGAAGTCAAAAAGAATTAAGGTGGAAGGAAAGTAAATTATGCGCAGATCTTACTTCTGTCCTTAAAAACGAGGAGATTCTCTACACTCTAAACCTAATTAATTTACAATGGTGCATTTTTACTTGGATATATCTGAACTATTAAGAAAACCAACGCGATTCTATTCTACTTTTATTTTTATTCTTTTAGGTAATACATAATACCGAAAGAGATGTGAACAGAATTATTTAATTACGATATAATGTGTACATCAATGAATGACGAAAAGCAAGCTGATTATATATATATAAAAAACCTAAATAGTACAAATTAGAGATAAGTTTTTGTTCAAGAGGATAATATTCTAACTTATCTCAAGAATCGAACACTAAATTCTTCATGAGTATATATGCTAATGTTTTATTCTATTCTATTTATGATACGAGATCCAAAATAAAAATGATGGCAAAGGCACCAAGGAAAATCCACTAATAAAATATCTCATGCTTTAATGAAGTTCCAAAATTTTTGCATTTTATTCCTGCACCATCCAAATGATAGTTTTTACAATATATACTAGAGTACTTTTTATGCATTATTTCCTTTTCTTTTAACTTTATGATATGCTTTCTTTTCATTTGTCTCATTGCCTGGTACGTTTCCACCTTTTGATCCAAAAAAGTCCTTGAAGGCTGGCCAACAGCTTTACAGTGTAATTTTTCAGCGAAGAGATATCAATTGACACCTCTTGACAAGGGTACTCTGCCATTGTTTCTTGGTAATTTTCTGAGATCATTGAATATATGGACATTTTCTTTGAGCATATACAAATACATTTCCTAGCTTATTTAGAAGAACGGATGTAAAATAAAGTGATGTAGAAACAATTCTACGTCATGTTATAAAGAGAAGAAAATGTTACATCAATTCCTTTAGAGCAGAAGTGATCAGTGATACTCTGTGTACTTATAGCTAGCATCTTCTTAGTACTAAGTTAAAGAATAAATTTGAAGAAAAGAATGTGACTGAAGTAGACAAAACTATCTGATTTATACAGATTTAGCTACAGTCCTTGAGAAAAAGGAACATTTGTGTAAGGCAACCAAGTATCTCCCATAGTGAAATTATAGACAGTAAAGTTCATTGCTTGTGAAGCATTCATTAAGCTATAACCAGGCCATTGTACTCTCATTGTAGTATTAGCCCCTGGTCCATAATTCTCAAACTCCCCATAATAAAGGGTGTCTAGTCCATACGTTCCGTTCCACTCTAACCATCCAACAGGCGTGATCACATCTCCTAAATAGGACTGCATGATAACAGTCCTTGAGTAATTGTGCCAAGGCCGGCCAAGAAAACTCAACGTGAGATTCGGGTCCTGTGCCAAATCAGGGGCAGCTTGAATTGTGCAATTCTGGATAGAAATGCCAGTGTTCTGGTTGGGATCACTCCGGCCTTGTGCTGTGAAGATGTTCTTTTGGTCTGGCATTGGCTTCCTAGCAAAAAGATTGCAATTTTGGAAAATTGCAGCTGCATTGCCAAATATGAAGTCAACAGTACCATAAATATCGCAGTCTCTATAGAATTGTCTTAAAGAGTGCACGTATAACGTGTCTTGATAGCCCTCAAAACAACATCTGTAGAACGTGGAAAGGTCTGCATTGTTCCTTAGAGCTACAGCTTGGTGTTTCCAAGGACCAGCTACATTCTTGAATGTTATGTTCACAGCTACAAACCGCTCCCCTGAAACAGCTGCACATGAAAAAAAATTTAGATACCTTTTGCTTAAATGTAGTAGTAACACTTGAATATAGAGTTTCACCTATAGAATTGTTTGCGACTATTTGTGAATTTTATTTGAAAATGACCAGGAGGCATAGTTTACTTACCAAAGGTTGCTGAATTGTAGGTTGTCCAGCCATCTATGACACTTCGATTTCCAGCAATCACAGTGCGATCAACTCCTTCTCCAATCAACATAATGTTCTTCTTGTTCTTGGCCACAACAACATACTCCTCGTAGTATCCTTCCTTTGCGTAGATGAGAAAATAGCCATCGTCAATCATTGAGTTATTAGGTGCAAATGCAATTGCTTCTCCTATCGATGTAAAGTTGCATCCACCATATGGGCTAACTGTTACAGTTTCCTTAATGTGAACTCCATTTTCTACTAACTCGTCAAGAATCCTTCCATCCCTTTGATGAGACCTCTCCAGTGCTTGTTTAACCTGTTTACTTAAAACAGATAAATGCTTAAAATGAAAAACCATAAGGTAGATGAAACTATATGTAATTTGCAACAATTTATAGTACCATAATTTACCTTAATAATATTTTTGAGTTGGTACTTTGATCTCTTATGTCATGACTTTGTATTACTAGCATTGATTGTGATAGGGCTGATTTAATCATTTTTGTTTAATTTTTCTTACAGCCATAAATATATTGACATGCAAAATATTTTTATTTATCTTGGTAACCCACAAGAATAAGTAGTCTTTTCTTTTGGACCTTAAAAATAAACAAGTCATGTGGAAACACAATAAGCACACTTGATCTAATAAAATTCCAAAATTTGAGTATTAGATATTTGTTTTAATGATCACAATAGGTGGCACATCAAAATCTAATAATCACTCACCTCTTTTCTTGCATCCTCTGGCCTTTCACTAGTGAAGGGGCTTAATCCTTGTTTTTTTTTGTTTGTCAAAGGGACCATAATTTTAAAGATGCCAAGTTTTTTGTTTTTCTTTTTGGTTTCAATTTTTATTTTACAACTTAATTGTGTAAAATTATATCTTATAGGATTTTTACATATCAAATATATTCTGAATAATAAAAAAAAATATTTATTGTTTTTTGTATAGCATGTGGGAAGGAAGATGATTATGTCAGAGTTCAGAGTTGCTTGCCTTTACCAATTGTTTTCCCCACATGCAGATTTATAAGTACAAAATTTGGGGGGGAAAAAAAAAGAAAGAGGACTATAGTGGGAGGGATGTTTATTAGCCATAATATACTGCCCAAAACTCAAATTTATTTGCGCACACACAAATACAAAAATACAATTGTTCTATTTTATTTTTTTTGCCAGCATTTGAATTTCTATCAACTCTTAAAGTAAAGAATTAGACGCAATTTTTTCGTTTCTCTAGCTAGAACTACAATTCGGCAACTTAAACATGTCAGTAATATAAGGGAAATAAATAAGCCAGACACTATTTGTTTTTTAACGTATTTCCTCATCTTTAAATTTCAAATATATAACTGCTCTAATACGATAAATGTAATTTCATTTTTAACTAGAGTATCACGTGGTTATCTCAGGCCAATCAATAGAAAAAGAGGAAGATACAAAATCTACCAGCTCTTATTTCCATCTAGTTGTTAGTAGAAAACAAAAGAGAGTGATCACTTACCCTTTGCACTATTTTTTCTACCAAACAATTTCTTTTTACAATAGAGAAAATAGGAGTATATATATACAGCATCTAATTTAGTACTTGAAATTAGTCGATAAATTTCCTATTCTAATTTCATATATATTTTTTAAGAAATTAATTAATTAAATATAAATTATATTATTTTTTTGAAAACAATACTTAAAAGTAAAATTTTAAAAATTTGAGAGGAAAGGATCAAAATAGTCCCTTTTTTGAATTAAGGCTCAAAGTGATCCTTGAGTTTTCACATGGAGCACTAATAGTCCCTCATGTTTGCAATATTGATACTCTTTTGGTCCTCCTCCAAAATTTTACCTATTTTTTAGCATTGATTTTATCCTTAACCTATGTATTGGATGTTCAATCGTCATTTTATATATTTAGTAGAAATAACAACTTCATATGAAAATATCTGAGAAGAAAAAATTTTGTTTTGTTTAGTAGAAATCGTATTGCAGATAAAGTCGATATGTTTATCATATAATTTCACGTGCAATAGTACAATTTTTACCTTTCCTGCAAAGTCATATGTTAAGATGTTTTTAGTTTAGCTGCAATAAAATTTCTACTGAACAGAACAAGGTGTTTTTCTTATCTCCTTCTTTCAAAAATGCATCAATATTGCAAATATGAAGAACTATTAGTGCTCTATGTGAAAATTTAAGGGTCGCTTTGATCCTTATCCTAAAGGTGAAGACTACTTTGAGTCTTTCCTCAAAATTTGACCAAACAAACTATGTACTAGTCATCACTCATCAGAAAGGAGAGATACCTTCTAGTTGTGAGTAGAAGACAAAAGAGAGTCAGTTTGTACGGTTTTGTTCTCCCCTAACAAGATCTACCAAGAAATATATTCGATTACTAAGTATAATTTTTAATGTGTTCATCATGTCCTTCCTCTTATGGCTAAGGTAAAATTTTTGGGTAATTAAGCAATTTTAATTTATGAGTACTAGATCTTGAAATGGGAGAAGTAGAGGCAGCAGTACTTCTTAATAAGGGTGCACTTTTAATTCGCACAGCGGACGTAAAGATCTATGTATAGTTGCTTCAATAATAGAGAGCGGTGGAACAATCAATGCAAAGGGCAGTCAACTTGCAGCAGAAAAATTCCTTTTCATTTGGATATATATTGGATTAAATTAATTATACACACCACAAGAGTAAATATATATCGCTGCCTCATTCAAAAGCTGATACTGGATTAATAGGATTTATGAGTTTGAACAAATTCATTAATTTTTTTTATAAATATTTTATTTATATTAAAAAATTAAATAACATATGTATATCACACTTAAGAAAGTTGACATAATTTTAACGGAGAAGTAAAAATATCTAGTAAATTAAGACAAGAAAGTGTTGTATTAGATGTTCGAAACGGGATAATTACCTTGGAAGCCATGAATCTCGAACGGCGTGCCCACTCTTCCTCCATCACTCCTCCCTGTTCCGCCAACAATCTACCGCTCTTTCTGGATTTCCGAACGCGCTCCAATGCATGCGTCACCAATCCAAGAGACACACTGTAGATTTCTCCGGCATTGCTCAGCGGCGCCAATAGTTCATCCACCATACTGCTACCAGCTTCTTTCAGTCCCTCATAACACGTCTGCTGATTCGTCACCACAGCACTAAGCAATGTATGGATTTTTCCAACTAAATCCTCTGAAGTAGTGGAGACATCAGCTTTTTTCAACTCGGCCGAAATTGAATTTAAGTAATCGACTGTGAGTTGAGTGAGCTGCTGGCAATCGGTCAATGCGCTAATCTCTTTAGGATTAACGAATAACGATCTCTGTTTCTGCGTTGAGAGGAAATGCGCGATTAAACTGGATAATTTGTTGGCTTTTTTCTGGCATTGCTTTACGGAGAATTTGCTGTAGTCGTCATTTGGGTTAGAAGGAGAATGCTGAAATGCAGAGAGAAGGGAGCGGCAAAGTTTTGGGTAAAGTGAGGATTTGCATGCTGATTGATTTAATTCGCTGAAAATCGGAAGAGCTAAAGAAAAAAGAATGAGAGAAATTGTGAGGAAATGCTTCCGCATTTTTGTTTGTTATCACGTGGAAACAAGGAAAGGTTAATGTGTTTTCGGTGAGTGTGATTGATAATGGAATTTATAGCACAATATTGATATTTTGGTGTATTACATACATTTTTAATTATAAAAATTAGATTTTCTTTTTAAAAAAATTTGTATGAAGGTATTACTTATTTATTTTAGACGAATTAGAAAAAAGAAGTGTTGAAGAGGGATGGATAGAAATGATGGTAAATAGTAAATGCCTAACAATGAAAGTGATTACCAAACGGACGGCTGGAGCAGCCGGTAGTAACTACTCTTGTAACCACCGTCGGGTTTGTTCACACTCATTTGCGCAAAAAAAAAAACTTCTACGTTGTTTCATGTTAAGGAAAAAGTGGTTGACTAACTACGAAATTTAGCTCTATTTTATAAAGAATAATCTGATTTGACTTAGCATGAAGATTAAGAAAATAAATAACAATTTTGAATTTTATGGTCCTAAATTAAAATTATGTCAAATATATAAAATTGTACATTAATTTTGTAGCTTTAAACATGCCACGTGAAAAACTGTTATAAAAAAAAAGAAGAAGAAAGAGGTTTGAAACAGGCTAAAAAAAGAATAGGAGATTATTCTTTTTTAAACGGAGAAAGTATTATTTTAACCAATTTTCTGAAATTAGATTAATTTAAAGTTTAATTTTTTTAATAATACATTTTCATTTAAATATAAATTCCTCATGATATCCGATAATTTTATTAAACGAGCAAAATCACAATTCATAAATAAAGCATTGAAATATCCTATAGAATCCTAAAAAAATCATACAATGCCAAATAATAAATTACATATTTTCATGTCTTTCTATAAATAAATATTTACTTATATGTTATTGTAAACTTTTAGATACACATAATTTTATAAAAGAATCCAGTGAATAATAAATTAATAATAGGAGTGACTAGTTATTTTTTGAAAAAATTCTCCATATTGTACTAACAATCTTTGCACGTCGAATATTAGTTTTTTTTTTTTTTATAAAATATAAACTTATATGGATCAGGTTTTATATTAAAAGAAACTAAAATCATTTAAATCCTACTTTTTGGTGTGTGTCGTAGACATTTGTTGTATATAGTCAAAAATTAATGAGAACTAATTAGAGTGATAATTGACTGATAACTATTTGAAAATCATGAAATGGGCTAATGCAATTTTGCTTTAATTAACTAGCTAGAATCATTCCTAGAGAAATCTTATTCAGAAAAAAAAAAACGTTTTCCATATTACGTTTTCTCAAGACGGTGCACAGTTTGCATGTTCATCAAATATTTCATGTAATTTTGTTCTTCTAATTTTGTTTTAAAATTTGCGAACATAAATGAACATCCAGATTATAGTACTTTTGAAAATGAAAGAAAAGATATAGGATTGGTAAACAAGAAAGAGAATCAGAGAAGAACAAAGACAAACACTATATAGCAGAAACGCGTAAAACAGTGAACAATTATTGATACTTATAACCAAAGGCAGAGCTAGGTGTGATTCAGTGCCGGCTCTATGCATTGTAAAATAAGGCCTTTGTCTTAGGTCTTTGAATTTCCGAGGCCTTTAAATTTTTATCAATAATAAATTACGAGTTAAAATTTTTATACAAAAATTAATTATTTATGATAAAAAGTAAAATTTTTTAATATAAATATATATATTTTACCCACTTTAACATTTTTTTACTTTGTTAAAAATAAGAATTAGTAGTGAAAAAAAGTGTGAACATAATAAGTTACAAATTCTGTTTTACTTTTTTTGAATTTTTAGTTTCAAGCATTACTATAATCATATTAAAATGAGATATATCAAGTTATCAACTTCTTGCGTCAAATTTTATGATTTTAACTCTTATCTTTATTTAATATTTGTCAAGTAATTACTTATAAAATTATGTTAACAATTCATATAACAATTGTCTCACTAAAAGGATATTTTTTATTGTTGAGTTGATAAAATCTTACCTAAAATTAATAATTGAAAAAACACTAATAATTTTATCTAAATAAGTATATAAAGTGTGTTTATATTTTAGGCTCTGATTTAAAATTTCGCTTTAGGCCCCCAATCACATTAAACTGCCCATAGTGTGATTTAATGGGTTCAAATAAATTCAATATCTTTTTTATAGACCCTTAATTTTTATGAGAAAATTACATAAATATTTTTGTATATTAATTTATGAAATTCTAATAAAATTTATTAACGATTATTAACGAAATATAAAACTCTCAAACTCTTAATTCAGACTTTGCCACTGCTTACAACATAACGGTGATGGGGACTTACGTTAAAAAAAAAAGAGTCAATAAATGCATGCATATGCATAGGATATGGAAGGGTTGACAGAAGAACATGTGAAGAGGCCTAGATTATGGACCAGACACCCAACATGAACCAACAAAACCATCTAAATTTCAGCAGCCAAACATGCATGGCTTTCTGTATTTCTTCCTTCACATCTTGAGGATACACAAAATTTACTATTTGCCTGTAACTCCATCGTCACATTCAGTTACATCATACTCTCCTTATCCAACTATTCTCAATATATTATTACTACTATAGTAGAAATGCGGTAATTCAACATGTGTGCTTTTTGCTATTTTAAAATATTTAAAGGCTAAATTAGTCCTTATACGATATGATAAACAGGTGTCACAAGATGCATATAGAATATCAAACGTGTGATGTGCATATTCCTCCATCTGCCAACAATCCTCTGCATATGAGATCATATCTCCTTCAACAATGCACAATTTGTCTTGCAGATTTCTAATTGCATGTCTATGATGGAGGTTCAACAACTTCACATCTTCTTCTTTCATGAGATTAATGCAAAAAGAATTCTATTTAAAAATAAAGTGGCATCAATTGTATCAAAATTGATTACCTACAGATTTTTGGCAAACACATGAGCCGGTAAGTGATACATACCCTCATGCTCCTTCTCATAGTTGTTTCACAACTGGGTATTATTATTGCATCTATTTTTTTTCCTGATACTTTAGGTTTATGTTTGATTCTTGTTTGACACAATAGTTGCAAATTTTCCATTGAGACTGAAATTCACGTGTTGAATTATTGGATTTTGGATTATTATGTGTAAATGTTCTAGAATTTGACATAATGGAGATGATGAGAAAAATGAGTTGTTGTGGTACTTGTGAGAATATATTTAGGTTATAAGATATATGATTGAGAGTTAATTTCGTGTTGGAAGAGGTAGCTTATTGTTTTGTAAAATTATTGGGTTGTGACATATGTAGTATTGTTTAATGCATTGTGAGACAGAGGATATAACATGTTAATTTTCTGGAGAACCTCTTCTCCTCCTCTCTGTTATCAAGAGGAAATACTTTGAGTTATCATATTGTTAATCACTTGGTACCTATATTTTAGATTTTTCTTGTGTTTTGTCAAATATTTATGACTATGAAAATGTGCCACAAGAAGGACTATATGCTTTGGTGTTTTTTCCCAATACAAATGATGATCTACTTTCTCTAGATGTGTGATGTTTAAGGTAGTATGAATTGTGAAATATTAGTTACTTTAATATTTTTCAAATAAGAATTGCAAGTAATAGTAGTACGGACCTATCACCTATAGCTGAAGTGGTGTGTTCTTGAAACAAGAGCTTCAAACTTGTGATGAGATCATGTTATATGATTTTCATGTAATGATGTGTAGTGACTTGCCATAAAAATGGCATGAGGTGTTATGACATGAGGTTATTGCATAAACAATCTTTTCAGATTGTTATTTCGTTTTTCATCGTAAAATGCAATTGAAGGTTGTTGTTGCCTTCGCTTGAAAAAAGAGACAAAAGAAGAATTGAATTGCACTCCCGTGGGAATCTTAGTAGATTAGTTGTTGACTACTAAACTTTCACATAATTGGTGAGGGTTTGATTCCTAATCCACTCCTCATTTCCTTTTAAAAGAAGAAAGAACATCTGAACTCCAATAGTATGGTTGTCACGAATTATGATAATTGCTATAGTTGATGAGAATTGTGAAAAAGATGCTACATTAGATTCAATAGAAACACATCACCAATAACTTTTTAGTAAATCAATTAATTGAGTTTTTTATTAGGAATTTATTTTAAAAACTAAGAACAACTAATTCAAAGGTCGAATTAAACAGGCTCAACTGGATTTGAGTTTCATACCTGAAATTTCAGGTAGGAAAAGTAAACTACTCATAGTACTGGTGTGTTTCAGTAAATGTTTGGTGATAGTTCAAGTAAGAAATTCACACATGATAGTTCAGGTAGGAATATCAAAAAATTGGGATACTTTTAAATCTGTTTTTGATGATCAGTGCACCTCAGTCATTAAAAAAGGGGTGTTTTTGACCCTGTAATTCTTTTTTCTTCGGCTGTTTCTTAGTTCTTCACTTTCCAGAAGTGTTGGGTTAAACACAACACTTTTCCTTTATTTATGCTTTGTGAAATTCACACAGTGATATTCAGTAGTAACAATATCAGTAGATCTGTTGTTTTCTGGGGCTTCAAGTCGATGGGGATTGTATATGATGATTGTTGCAGACATACATGGTCATGTGTAAGTTTACTGTTATTATTTGAGGGGTTAAGTTGATGGGTATTGTATATGATGCTTGTTGCAGACATACATGTTTAAGTATGACAGTGTTCACGGTCAATGGAAGAACAATGAGCTCAAGGTTAAGGATGAGAAGACTCTTCTCTTTGATGAGAAGCCTGTTACTGTATTTGGCATAAGGTAAATTATGTCTCCAACTTTTCATTATTATATGAAAAACTGCATTAGAATTTCTCTTGATTGGACTTATAGTATGGATGTCTGAAGAGACCCAGAGGAAATCCCATGGGCTGAGGCTGGAGCAGAGTACATCGTGGAGTCAACTGGAGTCTTCATTGATAAAGACAAGGTTGCTGCCCACTTGAAGGTTTGTGATCCTAAATAACTAGAGCGTTCTTATTTTGGCTTACTGTTTGTAGCTAATATTGATTTTTCAAAATACATAGTTTGACGCTCCAACATATAATCCCCCATGGCCTGAACACTTGGTGCCTGAAACCATGTGGCGAACTTTGTTTGCATTTTTGCTTTTGTACATGTTTATGTATGCATTTGTTAGTGAAGGTGCTATTCTGAGGCTTTAGCATGTACTTCTGTTTTCTTCTCCTGTCCAATCAAAATTTTGTGGAAACTTAAGGACAGAGTATGCTGTCATCTTGAAAGCAATTTAAAACTTCTCTATGTATTTTCTCGACAGGAGTCTAGGAGTTGCAGTACGCTGTTTGTATTGTCTATATATTAGTTTCTTTTAAAATGTAAATTGATGCTAATGCGATGATGTTTGGGTGTTGACTACTTGGATTGATATGGTTATCACATATTTCCTTGCACATTAGCTTGATTACCTGCATTGAATAGTTGGTGTTGAGTACCTGCTTAATTTTTTTTGGTTGTTGTTATTACCAGGGTGGTGCTAAGAAAGTAGTCATTTCTGCTCCTAGCAAGGATGCACCTATGTTTGTTGTTGGTGTCAATGAAAAGGAATACAAGCCAGACCTCAACATCGATTCTAATGCTAGCTGTACTACTAACTGCCTTGCACCTCTGGCAAAGGTTCCCTTTTTTTCTTTTGCCCTATTCTTCATTTTAGTATTTGAGCCTATATGTGAATTTAAATGATTTCTTTTATGACTTTGCAGGTTATTCATGACAGGTTTGGAATCGTTGAGGGTCTTATGACTACAGTTCACTCCATAACCGGTAAGTATTGCTTTATGCATTAGAAGTTAATACAACTTCTGTAGCTCGAGTACTAAGTAATTATTTTATAACAGCCACCCAGAAAACTGTTGATGGACCATCAGCTAAGGACTGGAGGGGAGGAAGAGATGCATCATTCAACATTATCCCCAGCAGCACTGGAGCTGCAAAGGCTGTTGGAAAGGTGCTACCATCATTGAATGGAAAGTTAACAGGAATGTCTTTCCGAGTTCCAACAGTCGATGTCTCTGTGGTTGATCGCACAGTGAGGTTGGAGAAAGAAGCCACCTATGATGAAATCAAGGCTGCTATCATGTTGAACTCATTTACTTTTGAACACTTGCGCTGTCACCTGCTAAGCTGATCATATTTTTCTTCGCTTTTTCCCTCCTTCAAACTTGACTTCATTTCTCTTATTTTCATCTTTATTTACACGTTGAATGTATTCTTTAGTTTTAACTTGCCCCCTTTATCTTTGGATCTACTCGCTTGTTCTTTTACATATGCTTTGCTCTATATACTAAAATTTCTTTGTATCTTATATTTTTACAAATACCAACTTCCTACCTTGTTTATATGACAGGGCAAGTTGGAGATCACAATTTAGACTGCATCCTGGCTGACCTTCAATTTAATTCATTGCATTATGTTAATATGTAAATAGAACATTTATAGAAATCTTTAGATCTCTGGATCTAACTTTAAATACATTGTTCACTTTTCAATTAGTATATGTTATTCTTAAATAAAACAGACTCTATGTTTTTTCTTAAATAAAACAAACTCTAAAGAGTTACTTGGTGTGAATAATAATTTCAGGACAAAATGTTTGAATTATTTTATTTTATGTTTAGTTGGGAATATTGGGTAGTCGTTCACTTGTTTATTGCAGATTTTTTTTGTCGTAGTGATGAAATATATAATAATTTATTTCAAAATTTAATTATTTTAGATAACTTGTTCTCAACAAAACAATTCTAACTAAATCTTCATTATATTGGGCTCGTGTTGGGCCCGTGCTTGCACGGGCTAATCTCTACCTAGTATATATATATAAAAATGACTCTATGAAAAAATAAATATGTGTTACTATAAAATATTTTTTTTACATTTTATTCTCGTGAAAACATATGAAAAAAAATATTTTCATTCAAATATTGAAACTGCCACTAAATATTTTTTGTTTTTCACTCATTTAATCTAGATATCTGTGCAAATAACATTTAACATTTTCCGGCGAGAATTTTCACTGGAGAAATAATTATTTTTTTAATAGTATAGTATGTATATATTATCTTGGTTTATAATGTCATACTACAAGATTAGAGAGAAAAACTAATCAATATATTCATTTCCTTTCCTTTCCCTCGCTATGTTGACTTCCATTTTGAAAGTTCAGAGAAGGAAAGTATAAAAAAACATCTCGTAATGCATTTAATCAGAAAATAGATTATGCCTCTGCGAAAGTATCTACTCGTTACCGAATCTCAGGTATCAAAGTGTTGATTTCATGTAATAAAAAAAAGGGAAATAAGAATTCCACAAACTCTTCGAATTTTGAAAAGGAACTAATTACTGGAGAGCAAAACAAACAAAGGAATAATAAAATTTGCTTGTTGTATATTAGGAGAACATATTTCATTTAGCGAGTTATAAAATCTGGAGTAGTTAATATGGGTCAGCCTCATTTCTTTGGGAATTATACGGGTCATCAGGTCAGGTTAGCCCATTATTTTGATGGGCCAAAAAACAATCAGTTCAATTTATTAATAAACAGATTGTGGGTCATGTAAGGCCGACTCATTCTTTAAAATATATATATATATTTTATATGATTTATTTTAAAATGTTAACATAAATATTTTAGAGATAACTACAGTTCACTGATAATGGATATGAAAGTTAAATTTTCAATTCATTTTTAGAAATACTTATTTCTCTTAATATATTTATATATTATTTATATTTAAATAAAAATAACAAAAAGAATGTTATATATTTCCTTCGTTTATAAAAGAATAGTCTTATTTTCTTTTTAGTTTATTTCTAAAAGAATGATCCCTTTCTTTTTTTTGTCAACATTTTAATTTTAACTTTCCACGTTGCATGTTTAAGATCACAAGATTAAAGGACATTTTGATATATTTAACATAACCTTATTTCAAAACCACAAAATTAAAAAATCTTATTTCTTTTCTTAAACTTCATTTCAAGTCAAATTAGGTCATCCTTTTTGAAACCAAAAAAAGTAATAACTTAGATTCTGAATTAAGTATAGAAAAGTTTGTTTAGGAATGTTATTTGGCTTACCTTTATAAGGATTCTTTCATGGCTTTCTTTGTCCTCATTATTTTCACCGTACTTCTTCATAAACGCCATTGAAGTAGTTTAAGACATTCATCAATTGTAAATTTTGCTCATATTTATTTTTTTAGAATTTAGAGCAATAACTATTCCTTCTGTTTAAAAAAGAGTGATCTCATTTTTCTTTTTGTTTGTTTAAAAAAGAATGACCTTCTTTTTTTTTTGGTAATAACTTTTCGCATGACATGTTTAAGCCACAAGCGAGACAATTTTGTACATTTAACATAACTTTAATTTAGGATCACATGATCAAAAATCTTTTTTATTTTTCCTAAATTTCATGTCAAGTCAAACTAGACCATTCTTTGTGAAACGGTAGGAGTATTACTTATTAAATCTTCTTCACAAGAAAAAAAGTGTTTGGATACGTGTTTCTAATATTTTGGACAACATTTTCTCTTCTTCTTAGTTCATTAAATCAACATTACCAATTAATTAAAAGCAAACTTTGATCCCTATACCAGCATATATACTCAAATTTAAATAATACTTAAAGTTGATAGTATCAAAAATATTTGAATGTTATTTCTAGAAAAATAAACTTCAGAATTTTAAAATGTGTTTACTATAATAAAAAGGAAAAGAGAAGATGGAAATATTATTATAAAATTGAAAGAATATATATATACTTCTAAAAATAAGTTGATGGTGTAATTTTCTCATGTACTATCAATATGTTATAATTAATCTCAATATGAGATTATTTTTTTTATTGCCGGTCTGAAGTTGTCAGCTTGCTCATCTATTTCCAGATCAAGGTAAAGTTTTTCTTATTTCTATTTTTGGATAGTTATCAATATTATATCATTCAACCATTTAATTTGCTAGTCCATTTCCAAAATAAGGTAAAGTTTTTTCCTTTTTTTTTTAGATAGTTATCATTTATCAATATATATCATTTAACCATCAAGTTTCATATGATTCGACCATTTAGTTTACCAAACATGGCAGAGGCATACAGTATATATACACTTGGTTGTATCGTCGTATTCAGACTATTAGCCGCTGGAAACAATGGATTCATTTTCATTGGGATATTTTGATCATTGAAACATAAAAATGCAAGCTAAATTTTCATATGGGCATTGGAGGATTTAAGTGAAAGATTCAATTATTTTAATCAAATCCCCTGTTGGCCAGAACATAATCTATTAATTTATATATAATAGACAAATATTTAGATATGAGAAATCCACAAATTTCACATTGTAAGAGTAATAACTTCTTATAAATTAGAGCTGGCATAATTATTCCTATCTTTAATTCAAGAAAAAATGATCTTAATAATAGGAGTGCTTACCCATAAAAGTGTTGTTAGAATAGATATTCAATTTTAGCGGTGGTTTAGCAATAATTATCATCTAATAAATCATTTTATTAATAACCCACCTACTTATAAGATATGAGATTAAAATAACTTTGGTCTTTGAATTATTTTATTATTCTTTGTTTTAGTCCTATAATTCAAATAAGAATTTTAACATTTAATTGGTCCTATGAACTATTTAAGTAATCCATTCGTCTCACTTTATATGTTGTCTATTCTATAAATAATTGGAGTACAATACTTGTGATTATATAAAATTTATGTATAAATTTTCATATTTTGCCTATTATACCCTTGATAGAATAGTCAATTAATATTATCATTTATTAATAAAGTTGACTTAAGAAAAATTAAACAAGGATAAAATGGTAAAATTATATCATTTCTTAATGCAAGTACAACGTAAAAATATGACATAAAATGAAACGGAGGGGCATAATCATTATTGTCAGTAAATAAAAAAATAAATAGAAAAGAAATTAACTCGAGGTTCTTTACTAAGATTTTACTCGACCTTTAAGTATCTAATCATACTAATTATCATGATTAAGACTTAAGGGGTTTAGTGTTGCTCTCAAATACACCCGCAAATATACGTGATCACAAAAAGAATAAATAACGATTTAGAATCGACTTGTCGATAACAAAAAAAATTATAATTAGTTTATATTTATTCTAATAATTCTAGAAATTTAAAGAATGTTTTCGGTGATTTTTGTTTAGTGTCATCAGTGCATCTAAAACAGGCCCAATGGATTCGTTAAATTTTTACTTCCTACGGAAAATTATATGGAATGACAAACATTCCTAAGTAATTATATAATAGGAGTATAGTTTAATTTATTTACTTTCTATAATTATAGTTTATTTTTTTTTACTATAATTAATGGGGTCCACCATTTATTATATAACCAATAGTATAAAACCTTTTTTTTAATTTTGTATATAATTTTACACAAAACAATATTATCTCTCCTATTCATATTCCACCTTTTTCTCCTACAATTAATACCTCTATCCAATTTGAATTTTAAATTGTCCAAAATTCAATTACTCCCTTCCGAAGTTGAATTCAATTTTCGTAGGTACTCCTAAATTTTAGTCGTTTTCCTTTTTTTTTTCTTCTTATTCAACAATTGTAAATGTAGTGTGTTTCTTATGTTTTTTTCATATTTTTTTATGAAATAATCGATTGTTTGTTCTTATTAGATCTCAAATTAGTCACAGAATTAATGAATCATCTTCATCTATGAGGATTACCAGAGGTATTCCATTGCATGTCAATTTTGTTGACAATTTACCATCGTTTTCAATGGGTTTAACTCAAGATTTTGGAGTTGATGTAGGGTCTATGGTAAAATCAAAACAAGTTCATCATGAACAAACAACGGAAGAATTGAGATCAAAGAAAAAATATGACCCTACGGCAGTTCAAGAAGTTATTAACAATGCTAAAGCTAGAGGCATTAAAATTGTACAAGGAGGAAGAAAGAGGAAAACAGTAAACATTGATTCAGAGAAAAATGCATGTGAAGTTGACGGATCTGAAGAACATCATAATCATGAGGTAGTGGCTTAAAACACAAATTTAGATACAATTTTTTTGTTACTTAGATGTCAATATACAAAAAATTAAAGTAAATTTGTATTCACGTAATTGTATATAGTATATTGAATGTTTAGTACACACATGTTTTAGTTATATATTTGTATATGTGTCTGTAAATTTGATTACTTTATACATACTTTAAGTTATGTATAATGAATAATATACTAAGTCTTAATAGTGGTAGTAGCAGATTGTATATTAAAGGCTCATTATTATTTTTGTTTTTGTATATATATACAAAAAGTAATTGGACTTAGTTATACAGATGAAAAAATTTCATATATGATTAATTTGTATATTTTATTAGTTATATACAAATTATTGAAGTTAGTATATATTAAGTTTATATACATATACAAAAATTGTAATTTGTATATTTTAGTAGTTATATACAAATTATTGAAGTTA